GCTTCCTGTTGTCTTCTCCATAAAGAAATACATAAAAATTAATTATAGTGTCAAAAATAATTATAACAATTATAATTATCATTAATAATGATTATCATTAATTCACTCTTTCTAAACCAATGAGAATCGATGCAACTTTTCTCTTTTACACACACAAACTCGCAACAGTCTCATTACAGACAAGCAGTCAACACGGATATGCTTTCAACACGTGCATCAACGAAAATTTCATCTCCTTCTCTTCCTTTTTTTTCGGGAATGATAGTAACAGTTATCTCTTAGCACCCAACAAAATGTCAAGGTAAGAAAAGCCCAGATATTTCTTGTATTTTCCAACTAAATTATCAGGAGATTCATTACATACGAGAAAAACTGTATACCAATTGCTTATTCTTTATCTTTTCATTCTGTCAGAATATTTGATCTATATTTAGTCCCAAACTCACAATATATTCAGTATTACTGTCTCTTGTGCCTCCAACACCACATAACAACCAGATAATAAATAACACTCATGTTGATGTTTTCCACTGTTTCACGTTTTTTACGAGTATTTTGTTAGGGGTTTATAATTATTTGTTCGGTGTTATAACTCCCCTACAAATTATCCATCTGATGAAGCCATATAGGAGAAATGCATTATCGGATAATATTTTCGAAACATACCTTCATGAACGTTTTCCCAAATGTCAATAACTTATACACATCTATAGAAAAAGACATACGAGAAGGACGCTATACACTTTACTTAATCTTTATCTTATCATTCTTTCAGATTCCGATCCATATTTGATCTATATTTGATTCCAAACTTACGATTTCACTAAGTATTACTGTCTCTCGTGTCTTCCACATCACATAACAATCAGATAATAAATAATACTTGATTTTTTTTTGTTTCCACGTCTGGCTGTTTCTCATTTTACGTGTATATTTGTATATATAAATGTAAAAGAAGTGTCACATGATGCGTAGTATGGAAGATGGAAAAAATGTAGCTGACGGATGATATACAAGTCAATACCCGATCACTATCGGCTGGGTCACCGTGATGAGGGGGTATGATGTGGAAAGACCCGAAACCCCTAATTAACCTCGGCTAGAAACACCATTGATGATGTGTACCAAAGCATCCGGTAGATGTATTTTACGAATAAGGGTGTTTATAATTATTTATTAGTTATAAATCCCCTATAACACGTTAAACCGATTGATCGATTTGTTATTTATGTCTTGTCAACATTTTTTTTTAGCAATATTATTTGTAACCCGTAATTGTCTTTGCCATTTATTTTCCTCCATCAGTTTACTCAAAATTTCCAAGCCAGTTACTCGCTACTTTCCCTTGATTCTTGTATTTATGTTGTGTTACATATTCTAAACTTGATATGCCACAAATATTGCAGCTGTCAATTCCTGGCTCTTAGAAGCATCTCTTATGTTGTTCTATTTTCCTTAAAGCATTTCCGATGTTATTTCTCTGGTGTTCCCAATATTCGTTAGTAAAATCACATCTCGACCGTTTCAAGGTGTACTTCATCTAGAATATAGTCGTATCCATATGTCGAAGAACATCCTTACACTTCATTTTAATGATTAATTTTACTGATATTTTCTTTTTCCAGTACGGTCTCCAAATTTGTTGTATAAACAAAATCAACTTGGCACTGATCAGAGAATCATATAATAATTGCGCTTGTTAGTTTATACGACCAGTACGCCCTGCCAATACCTCATAAGTAATGAATCATTCCTTTTTGATAGCGTGGAAATGCAAAAGGCATAAGAAGCACACTACTTGGTTTCATTCGGAAAATGAAAGGAAGCGGGGAAGATTACAATGTTAAACGTCTGTTTTAGTGAAATGGAAAAAAAATGTCAATTTCAAATCTTTTCATTTAACGACAAGCATAGGGTGAAGGATCGACTTGTGATCGACCTGTACGGCGCTGGTTTCTAATGTTCCGCAGTGAACATACCAGTATTGATGATTAAGATGTAGAAGGATATCAACATCTAAAGCACTAGTCGAACAAAAACCCAAGTTAAAACACTTCAAAATATCGGATCCTCTCAAGAAAACTGGCAAGAATTTGATAAATCGGTTCCACTTGAATTCAGTGAAAGTCAAAGAATTCGACGATTTGAAGTGTTCAATTCTGCATTTTAAAAATTCGAATGATCCATTTCTTGATGAATTATTGACTTGAATGGATCCTTTATGATCTTAAACGATCGTCACAATGGCTTCACTGTGAAGAAGCGCTTAAACACTTATCAAAACCAAAATTGCAAAAACAGAAGATTATGGAGACTGTTTCGTGGTCCGCCGACGTTATCAATTATTGGTTTCTGGAATCTAGCCAGTGCATCACTGCCGGAGTTTACTTGCCAGCAACTGGATGAAATGCACATTCAGTAAAGTAAAATGCGATTGATCCAAGTTAATAGACAAGATCCAATTCTGCTTCATGACAATGTTCTGCCACGTGTTGCCAGGATAACACAGCAAAAGCTTCCCAATTTAAGATACGAGACTTTACCACATCCTACATATTCTCCTTATCTTTCGCCAACTGACTACCACATTTCAAGTATTTTGATAATTTCTTAAGCCAAAAGACATTCCTTTGCAAAGATGCAGATACATTTATATTATATTTATATATCTATATACATACATACATACATATAAAGAAAATAGGAAACGTTTATAAATCTAACAGATTTCGCTTTTATTAACACGTCACCAGAAAGATTTTTAGATTTATAAACGTTTTTATTTGTTCTCCATCCTATCATTCTATCAGTTTCCGATTCATATTTCAAATGTATGTGATTCCAATTCATATATATATATATATATCACAGGTTTCACGTACGCTTTTTTGAATTTGTAGGTCTGATGAATTCGATCGTCATTACGATTCCAATGTAATAAATTATAACCATGGAATATTAGTGTTTGAGACTAATATATATATATATATATATATATATATATATATATATATATACCGGGTATAACAGCATAACTGTCCATTTTGTTAGCTTAAGCTCTGAACCGCTATGACTTAGAAATGATTAAAGATATCTTACCGAATTTTTCCGAGGTTTTTATAACAGTATTGAACTCTACATTGAGCAATAAGAATGTAGAATTACTCTCTAAGAATAACAGAAGAATCTTGATGAAATCGATCATAAACGAAAATGACATGTTCATCATTAATTAAACTTAAGGATTGGAAGCGAATTCAGGGTTGAAATAAAGTCCATATATATATATATATATATATATATATATATATATATATATATATATATATATATATACTTCCAGCATCATTTTCCAATTTTTCAAAGTCATCTTCGCCCGCTCTAACTTTCCAACTTTCTGTCCTGGAGTAATAAGATGCCTCATAGATTTCACGCACAATTTCATTTTCAAGGCTTTTTTTTTCATTGGTCTTTGGACTGCCGTGGATGAAACTCCTCTCTCACGTGCCAACCGTTTATGGATTTATTTGGATCTTTTCTAATTGATCTGTTTAGATTTAAGTTGAAATAGCTTTTCATGTTGTGACCTTCTGATCCAGTTTTTCTCTCTACCGTTCTCTCTTTTCAAAACCGATCCACTGTTCGTTCTCTTGATGGTGGTTGAATGGACTTTGAAGACGGAAGCCAGAGAATGAATGTGGCTACGATTACTGAAGGCTCTGAGTGATTTTCCCCCTCACCATTTCTCAGTTTGGAAGACAGAGGGGCTGACACAAAACGATTTTAACCTGTTCTCTTTCTAGCTGAATAACTCAATGTGTTTTTCAGTGATTCTTACGATAAATCGTTTTAAGATGGCTAAATGTCTTATCTGAATACCTGGAAAAAAGAAACTCAATTAGTTTAGTGGTTTTTAGCTGTTAAGCATTTCAGGGGATGGGGCAAATGCTGTTAAACGATTTGGAATTTTTTTCTGTTACACCCGGTATATATATATGGATGTATATATGTATGTATGTATATATCTGTATGTATGTATGTATATATATATATGTATGTATGTATGTATGTATATATATATATATATATATATATATATATATATATATATATATATATATATATATATATATATATATATATATATATATATATATATATATATATATATATATATATATATATATATATATATATGTATATATATATATATATATATATATATATATATATATATATATATATATATATATATATATATATATATATATATATATATATATATATATATATATATATATATATATATATATATATATATATATATATATATATATATATATATGTATATATATATATATATATATATATATATATATATATATATATATATATATATATATATATATATATATATATGAGAAAAAATTAAAAAAAAGTTTTTTCGTGTGACGCGTTTTGTCCTTTTGGGCTTTATCGGATTAAAGTGAAAATCTGTTTCCACTCTCATAGATTTTCTAAAATTGTTGTTATATAAAGTTTTCTATAGATCTGTCCTATATGTATATAGCCAAGGATATTATAGCAAATATATTAAAGGCGAGACTGACAAAGAAGAAAAAAGTGACAGGGAGGGCGTGAAAGAAAGATTGAAAAAGCGATCAAATAAGACAAAGTAAAACGAGTGAAGGCAAGTTTAAGGATGATAGAAGATAAATAACAGTGACGAGATTGAAAGAAGGGAAAGAACAGAGAGAAAAAAGTAAAGAGAAAACGAAACACCGCAAGAAAATACAGAATTGAGAAGGAGAAATAAATAAGAAGTGAAAAGGAGAAAGAAAGAAAGTTAATGAGAAAATTTTTTAATGGCGGCATGTGTGTGTGTGTGTGTGTGTGTGTGTGTGTGTGTGTGTGTGTGTGTGTGTGAGAGAGAGAGAGAGAGAGACAGACAGACAGACAGACAGAGAACAAAAGCATGGAAATTAACAGAGAAACAAATGTTAAAAATTCGAAGAATTCGAGTGATACAAAAAAAATGAGGGGAGAAAGAGAAAAGTTGCAAAAAAAGACATGAAAGAAAGAAAAGAAAAAATGAGGAGAAGCAAGAAAGAAAGTAAATAGGGATGAAAGGGACGAAAAGATAGAAAAGAAAACGAAGATAGCGAAAGAAAAGTACTAATGCGAAATGAAAGAAAAAAATGAAAAGAGAGGGAGGAGGAGATGGGGAGAGAGAGAGAGAGAGGAACAAAAGCATTGAAATTATTTAAAGAAATGGGAAACGAAAATGTTAAAAGAAAGAAATCGATGATAGGAAAAAAAATGAAAGAGAAGAGAGAGAGAGAGAGAAAGAACGAATGACAGAAAGAAAGAAAGAAAGTACGAAATAAAGAGTGAGAGAAAATAAGCAAGAAAGAAAGAAAGAGGATAGGGATGAAAAGGGACTATGAAAGATAGAAAGAAAAAAAACGAAGATAGCGAAAGAAAAAGTACTAATGCGAGAAAGTGAAAATGGAAAGAAAAAATATAATAAAAGGAGCAAAGAGAGGGAGAGGGAGAGAGAGAGGGAGAGGAAGATAGAGAGAAAGAAAGAAATAAAGAAAGAGAGAGATCTATTTCGATCTCCATCTCATTAATCATTTCTTTGTTCTTTCTTTTTATTTTCTATATATATATATATGTCTCCATAAACATTTCTTTCTTCCTGTTTGTCGTTGCTAAATGGTGCCTTTCTACATTTTCTAATAGTTCCTTTTGAATTTTGTTCAGTTGTTTTTTTTTTTTATATCTTGTCTCACGGTCATCCACATCATATTCAACGCTTTATTTTTTCTTGACTTTTTCTTTCTTCCCGCCTAATTATTTTCCTCTTTCTTCTTTTCAAATCGTTAATTTTTCGTTCCTTCCTTTTGACGACTTTCTTCTCGTTCTGCCCCCGCCTCCCCCATGTCGCACTTTTTTTTATCTCATTATATATTTTCTTCCTTCCATCTTCTAGCTTGTCCTACGCGTTAATGCTTTTGGTTTTTGTGCGTTTTCAAATAATTACCATTTCTGTTCATCTTTATATTCCTTCTTTCTTCCCACCAATCTTGATTACTACTTCCTCAATGTTTTCGCTTTTAATTCTTCTTCCGGTTATGCACTTATCATTTTCTGCTTTATGAAACCAAAAAATCTTTTTTTTTTCCTACCCACGGTTCTTTTATGACAATTAACATGAGTTCACCCACGCGCACACACAAACATCCCACTCACAATAAGACCTGTATAATGTCAACTTTCCGATTTGTGATACGAACTTCAAGATACATCCTAATTCAGTTCCTTGGAATTACAGTTAAAGGCAGAGGATACCGTAGCCATTAGCCATTTCTTTGAATCTCTTCTTTTCAAATAACAGTATTCACTGTTGAGAGTGATTATTTACATCCAGTACATTTGGTTGGCAATTCTTATTCCCCGCCCACATTCAGCTACAGCTACGGAATAGTCGAGACAAACTATCAGAGTTCATATTTTCTATTTTCAAAATAAATTGAAAAACGAAGACGTGAAACCTTGCAAGAAATTGGTATCTTTCAACTGTCAAACTTTCTTTCACCTTCAAAAGAGAGATACTTGTTTCCAAACAGAATCAACAGTCAGTTTTTATTCAAAAATGTTCTTGCATCAGTCTTGAATTTTTTTTTTTTTTGTAAGATTCAAATTCATTATTTTATTTGTGGACAACCTCGAAGCGAACTTAACATTTGGATATTACAAGAGTTAGAAAATAATTAAATACTGTTCTTTATCATTTGTTTTATTTCAAATTATTGTTCTCATCTTAGTTGATAAAGATGTTATTATATACACAACGTTTCGACCAAGTACCCTCCTGAAATCATCAGGTGTCCATTTATTGTACATTACACACGAGCTACATGTTATTTAGTTGTTCAGAAAATAATGTCCTATTTTAGAATCAACATTTATTACTGAATTAAGGAAATTAAACAATGTTTAAATCAATCAGAATAGGAAAACTTAACATCTACATATTTCTGCCATTGAGGTTTTGTATTGTAATCCTTTCTCCACCAAAATTGGTAGGAATGCAGTACACATTTAAAGGAAATGAAAGTGAAAGAAAAGATTGAGAATAGAAAGGCCTGTGGAAATTACAAAAGATGAACGGGGTTCAAGAAGATGGCGATTGATGTTGCATTTAAATTTTTGATGATTGTAGTGCTGCGAATATAAACAAAATTGTCAGTGGAAATATTTACTTGCTAAAAAACTTTCATTTTACAAACGTTTCTTGAGGTTGAAAATTTTCTTTTTTATTGTGCTATGATGCTTCTCAACAACTTCCTATCATTTGTAGCTCTTAATAATATTTGTCTTTTGACTATCCCTCCCCGGCTCCATTTTCTATCAGCTACTGATCCTAGAAATTTCAACTGTATCATTCTGATTCTAAGTATAGATGTCCTTTTTGTTTTTATTATCTTAAAACTTACTCATTGCCACATGTTCAGTCTATGGCAGTCTCATCATCCTTCTGTAGCTTTCAATGCTATACACTTCAGAAGTAAGAAAAAACCTTCTATGTTATAAAGATTTATTATTTACTATTTTATCAAGAAAGTTGTTTTTTAATCATTTCACTCCAAACAAGACAGGAATGCCTCTAGTAAGCCGAGGGATAAAGAAAATGAAAATGAAAGAGAAGTTTGAGAATAGGGAGGACTTTGGAAATTACAAAAAAAATGAACGGGGATCAAGAAAACACAAGATGGCGATTGATGTTGCATTTACATTTTTGATTATTGGAGTTATCCGGGAAGCAATTAAACAGAAGGGATTTCCACAGGCGGAATCGCGAGAAAGGAACTGTTGAAGTAGCGGTACGCTTTTAGTTATTTCAACAGTAAAAGAGTGGGACCTAAATGCCAATCTAGTAGCACGTCTAAGTTCTATTAGGGACACCAATGAAAAGAAGCTTGTCAGGGCAGTTACCAAGAAAATATTCGTAGAAAAGAAAAAGGTGTGACACCATTTAGGGATGCAAGGAAAAGGGAGAAAAGAAGGGAAAGAAATGAAAATTTTGATAATGAAAAATAGTGAAGGGTTTCATTGTCATTGTCGAGAATTCTAAATAGATAAATAAATAACGGTGTCGTGGAGGCGGACTTATATTATCAGAAAAATGGCAAAGCCGTTCCATCGTATCAGTGGTTGGCGCCGAGAAGTGAATGCGTCTGTTTGAACCAGTCACTTGGTTGACAAGTTCTAGATCGGCTAGCTAAACTCCGGGACAGAATAGATAAACATTTAAATGTGTCACGGGAATGCCATTTGGGGTCGTATTGTTCTGTTGGCGGCCAGAGAAGAAGAGAGAATAGAAAAGAAAAAAAAGAAGGGAAATAGAAAAAATAAAAAGAGGAGATAATTCTTTTTTCTTTGAGCAAGATATTTTTTTTAAGAAACAAGGCTAGTCTGGTCACACCCACACTGTTGATCGGTCATTGGGTGAATGTTAAGGAGAGCCAGGCGGAGGTGATCATGTGATGCAGTGGGGAGTCCTGCTACCACTCATTAAAGAGGATAGGTATGAGATGTTACTGCAAAGAAGTAGGAAAATCGTTGACGCCCTCTGAGGGTATGGTAAGAGAAGACTTCCAAAAATGGAAATAATAAATTTTTCCTAACCGAAAACAAAAAAAGGGGATTGTGGATTTGAAATTGTAAGGGAACCTCAAACCCCGACAAAGCCCACCCCGATTTTGGTCGGCGTTCATATAAGCAAAGTCGCAGCGAGCGAAAATCAGTTGAAGTCCCAGTTTTCCAGAGTTTCCAGTTCGCAGTTGAAGTGGGTCCCGCCTCGCATTAGCTGACTAAGATTCGCGCAACTTCCGAATTCATCTTCAATCCAAGAACAATTTATTTTTGAAGAGCAACTTAGATTCATATCGCCTGAAGACACACCAAGAACCAGTTTCTTAAAGAACAGACAACTTAAGATGTTAAAAGTCGCCTAACAAAAAAAAAACGTGTCACGAATCCATATAGCGGGTCGGGAGATAGACGCAGTCCTATGTATCCAGCAACTAGATATAAAGTATTGTTATCCTTTTTTTGATACCTTTGAAATTTTTGAGTTATTATTTTATTTTATTTTACACATATTTGTGCGATACCACTCTTATTCGAACTCAACTTGCATTACGGCCCCGACGACTGATTGATTTCGTCTGCCTAAGATCAATTCACAGCGTGGGTAGGCAGACTGGAGATCAAAGCAGTTACTTCGGTAACCAGACGTTGGAAGCGAGTCGGGAACTACGAGGCTGCTATCGAATCTAACCAGATTCCCATCCGAATCACCAAAAGGTTAGAACGTCACATTTGGGTGCCGCGACCAATACCAAGCCAGTTGGCAGTCACAGGACGGGACAACACGACTGACGCAGACAGGCGGACGTCACGTTTGGAGCGGCGACACCCGAACGAAGCAGCGAGGAGCGAGCAAGGCTGGGGAACGTCACAAAGGGAAGCCGTGTCACGTCGATGAAAAAATGACTGAAGACAAGATATCTGGTCAGGATTGATTATATTACAGATCCTTCTTTGGATTTCGTTAACAAACTCGAGATTACATTGTAGTGCCACGCCTGCATTTCTTCAATTTTGATTGGTCGATAAATACATACTAAAAATAATAGGACAATTTATCGATCGCATTTCACCATACTGAATTTTTTCCTACACTTTGCTCACAAACAAGTTTTGCTATAAAATCACTGATTGGTCCATTTTTCGTCCAATCGAGTATTTTTCGTGTACATTCAACAATATATCCCGCGTTTGTGCTGTGAGCCACCCTAAGTAATATAAATATTGGATGCATTCCAAAAAACCAGTAAGGTTCCAGCACCACAGTAGAGTACAGACCAGAGACATTAGGTCTCAACTACTCACTCGTGTTATTCATCTTACTCACTCCGCACGTACATACACACAGATACAGAATTTAATTTGATACACCACCAGTTCTCTGTGGACATACTAAGTTGAATCAACTCTGTAAGTTGCAAACACAACTAAACAATTTTCCAAAGAAATATTCTATTTCAACACTGAACTCTGAACTTTATACTCAGACAAATCTTTCTTAAAACATTTCCTTACAGTTAAAGGGAAACTACTTTTTTCTCCCTATTCACTCATATTAGAACTACTTTGTATTATTGTTGATTTTTAATATATATATATTTATTCATTAAAACAAAATTGGTTCTTCATTGTTTTTCCTTGATATTTTAAATATTATGTATGAATGTTTGTTGCCTTCTCAACACGCAGCCACATTTATCTATTTAACCACTTCAACATTGGTGACTACAACACTCAAGAAAGCAAGCATTCTACAACATCATGAGCACCAGACAAGATATGGCAACAATATTCATTGCACGGAAGAATGGTAGATTTGTAAATGTGAAAGATGAACTCTGTCGAGAAAAACCTTCTGGCATGACACAGTGACCAAACTTTCCTTGCAGTAAATGCAGCTATTGATTCGATGTAGTCGGTCTATTTCAAGTCAGTGGAAAACATGCGACCAAGAAGGTTACAAGTAT